GGAGTACTGAGGGGGGTATATCTGTTCATTCCATCCCGGAGTATGTGCCACTGAAATGTAGGAAATATGGTGGAGGGAGACCATGGTGTGGGGTTGTTTTTCAGAGGCTGGGCTTGGCCAGTTAGTTAGAGTAAGGCACCGTGGGCAGCACTGTGCCGTTGTAAGTTTGCCAGTTCGAGGATCGCCCGCTACCTGTGAGTGAATGCGTGTGCTTCCCTGTGATGGACTGGCGACATGTGCAGGATATACCTCCACCCTTTCACTGAAGTGCACTGGAGATGGACCCTGGTGACCTTCGTAAGGGAATAAGTGTGTAATTTGGTTACAGGGTAAGAGCTTTGCGTGGGATTACAAAAGTTGAAACAAAGCATAAGAGCAAAAAAAAAAACTGCACAAACTGGAAACAGTCACTTCATTATCCAATCACCGTCACTAAGGTTCCCTATGTAAACTACAACTTCCATCAGTTCCTGGTCCATTGTCAATGTTTCCCCCGTGTTACTTCATGGACTCCCTCACTGGCTCACTATTGTTTGCTTTGTGAGTTATTTACTCCAGCTACTTACCGTGCTGCGCATCTTCACCAGATCTGGAAAGCTTCCATGGCTGTGTTCCAGTGGGTATGTGATCTCAATTGTCGGCTTGAGCTCACTATAGCCAATGTGCTCCCTCGCTCAAGCCTGGTGGTACATGCTCACCATTGGAAGCTCACCTGTAGCATTCTGAGAGGTTCCCTGAGTGATGCTAATACCTCTGGAATCTAAAAGAAAGAGCTTACTTTTTTTTACCTTTTTTTAAATTTTTTACTTTTTTCTATACATTATCGGAACCATCATAAAACAAGTGAGTGATTTGCATATTGCTCTTATACTGCTCATCCTGCTGTGGATATCTGATTAACACTGTTAATTCTCCATCAGTGGTCAGTCTCCTGTGTATGTATGAGGGGTGGCAGAAGCTATACAGCATAATAAATTTAAAGTTGGCACACAATGCACAGAAACAATGGTAAAACTGTTAAATTTAATTTGGTTTGGTTAAAAGATTTGACAGTATATATTTGTGAATTTCACTTACATTTTACTCATGCCAGGAATTTACTTATCTGTTTATGCTTCAAGGACAGGGCTGAAAGTAGTAGTTGAATAGTAGTTCATATGAATGTTTTTTTGTTTTTTTTTTTCTTGCTTAAAGCACCCAATAATAAATCAAAGGCAACTACAAGGACCTTGGTTGGCTGTAAAGAAATCAGCGACATAACTGCAGTAAACACTCTGAAGATATTGCTTAACAGTCTGCCTGGAGTCCATGAAGGAAAAACTAACTCTGGAAAGAAATGTAATCTGACTGACAACAAGGAAATAATGGTTAAATGTGTGTTTTTGAAAAATATGATTACTCTGCGTTTCTAAGAAAAACATCAGAATGAACAATCTGGATGATTGAACATGCTGGTTTGGGAAACAAATGGACTCTGTACTGTACTCAGGAAAACGATGGTGACTGGCGCTGCAGATTACTATTGATTTCTGTGCCACGCGAGGCCTGGCTTTTAAAGATCAATCTAATGTCCTCACATCCTGCCCACAGCAAGCACAAACCGCGTTCTCTGACAAACTTTATCCTTGCTGGATTTGAGGGCTCTTCTACAAGTTTTCCCACTTGGAGCATTTGTTTGCTTTGAAGAAGTCACATAAAATTTGCTGCATTATGTGGCAACACCTTCAGACACCTTTTTTTAAAGACCAAAAGTTTTGTCTGTATATCATTGATTTCGCTCAGGGCATCATGGAGGAGTCATGGCTATTAGTTAAGAGATTGGACGAATAGCCACCACTATATCCTTGGAACGTTGAACCCGCCAATTTACAATTTGTGGATTATTAATATTGACATTATTGACATTAATATTAGTGTCCTTAAGAATGTTTTGCGCTCAAAGCCGGTCATGTTTCTTTTGAATATCCTAAATGACAGGAACAGAGGTCCCTGTAATACGTTGGGCTATTTTCACTACCTGCTGCAGAGTTTTTTTGTCACCAGCTAAGCGGTTTCCATGCCAGGCTCTGATACCATTGGAGGCTTCCACTGCACACTAATAGTAGGTCACCAGGCAGGCTTAAGATAGATGTTTTTTCTTTAGTGTTTTCAGACAGAACAGGCACTTTTGACCAGGCTGGAGGTGTTGATGGTCAGGGACAGGTCTTCTGTGGATTTGCTATAAAATCATCTTACAGATGGAGCAAGAAAGGGATTTTGTAACGGCATATTGCTTCTGACAGCATGTTTAAAAGCTTATGGCTACCCCTTGCAGGCTGTTGGAGAATGTTTCAAAATGCGGATTTGCAAAATGACCCATCATAAACCCTGCATCAACTATCTTTCATCAACCTTCAGGCTCAGAATGTGTGACTGTAAATTCTTGCAAATGAAGCAATGGGAAATGGCACATAAAACTCAGTAGTAAACCCCATAGGCAAAAAAATACAAATCTCCCTCTTATTCTGCTATTTGGGGGAAAGAACACAGAAGCTGACATGTTGTTTATAGCTTTGGATGCCAAACACACCATGCAAACTTGTGAATCAACATTGGTTCTTGAAACTGAAAGTTTTTAAAATGAAAATATGAGCAGACTTTTGAGCTTCCAGTCTTTGCAGGGGCTGCCAAGGTGTACACTTCTGTGAGGCGACTACTGTGGTTAGTACAAAACTGATGGATCTGACAGGAGGGTATTTCTGTCTGGGGCTGTGAATCTGCAATTGGTGCAAGATGCATTCTTGCAACTAAGAACACAGAGAAAGCAAGAGGGAGCCCAAAGAGGCAGAAGCGAAGCCTGAGGGAGGGTCAATAGTAGGTGGGTTGTGACTTAGCACTGGGGCTGCGGCATCTTCAGATATGAAAGGATAGACTGGTAAAAGAGGTCACATCCTTCAATCATTCATGACCATGTAATTGAAAGGAATTGGAAAAGTAGTCAGTGAATTCTTGGCCACAGAATCTTTTGTCAACTGATTCTGACGAGCCCCACCGGTGATTGGTTGTTCTGATGGAATTCCTGCATGATCATGTCTGTGTCAGGAAAGCAATTTGTAACAAAGCGGCAGTTAAAAAGTAAATGCTAATAGAAGGGTTAGGGTTAGATTAGGCTGTTAAAAAATTGTAAAATTATTTTTAATTTCATTCTGGTCCTCTTCAGTGTTGTAAAATGCAGCTTTGTGTTTGTAGCTAGCCACTTTGTACATTTTTGAAGTCTAAAGTGGAGTAAACATTTTTGGAATCCTTCTTGTAAACCAAATAAATTACAATGATATTATAACATGCAGAAGTAAATTCGAATTAAACACAAATACCTTGATTACCATATGTTCTATTTTGCTAGCAATTTTAATCCAGAATTGTATTGCACCAGGCCATATTGGCTGTGTGTTGACAGATACAATAATTCTGATGTATTATTAAATGTGTTTGAATACACCTTCATTTTAGAAGTTTCATGGTAAAGTTTGTGTAGCCTAGAGTGACACATTTAAACTCCTCCGCACATTCCACTATTAATCAACGTGATCAAAAGCAGTTCAGAACAGAAGACATGATTTTTTGGTGAGGGCCACAGAGCTCTCTGCTGAATATAAATTTGAAGTTGATTTGCAGTTTTTCTTCAAGTAGCACAATGTTGTGACTAAACCTATTCTGATTCCTCTCAACATGGTGTGGTGCTTGTATCTATCAGTTCCAAAGCTAGATTAACTACAAAGCAAGTCCAGACTCACTTTCACTGCCCATCATCAACCCCTGTAGAAATTAAAGATTTAGATTATGCAAAGCATCTATAATGAAATCTAACCATTTATTTTGCCCAGTCTTGCATCTTCCTGTTTTATTTAGCCTCAATAGCAAACAAAGCTCCGTGATAAGAAAAAAATCCATTTCAAATCCTGCCATCGATTTAAATGTGAAAGCGCTCTGATTATAGGCATTGCGGAAATGGCAAAATATGCATTTGCATTTGCGACACAAATGGATTTATGGGCTCTTGTAGGGCTTTGTTCTGAAATGTCAGCACAATCACAAAGTTTGCCATTGTCTGCTGGAGAATAAATATGCATTCTGCAGCTTTTTGGAATTTTCACAGATCACAGACTGCATCAAATTTCATAGAGTAAAGATCATGGCTGAACAAGTAAACTTACTTTCTTAACAGAATTCGACCCTATGCAAAGTAGGTGTTTGGAGAGCACCTTTAAAGATTGTGTGATTAACATGTTTCAGGAGAAGTCAATCTCGACATAATACCCCCATAAAATATCCTGTTATCAGATGCTCTTAAAAGCAGGTCCAATCCTTCTTCTATTTGACTTAGTACAAACCTGCTTTTCGGTCCAACCATCAGAGCAGGACAGGTAGCTTATACAATCTTATACGCGACACACATTTACAAACTAAAGACCCTTGACAGATAAAAGAGAGGAGTACAATCCGGAGTACACATTATGTTTTAATTAATTATTTATTTATTTTTATTTGTGTGTGTGTGTGTGTGTGTGTGTGTGTGTGTGCGTGTGCGCGTGTGCATGTGTGTGTGCGTGTGTGTGTGTGAAACTAATCCCAAAATTCTATGTTTGGATTTGACCACAGGATGAGCCAACAAGCCAAAATTCTAGACTGCTATTCTAGAAGAAATTCTATCAATACACGCTATAGAACTCTATGATGCCTTTTTAACTGACAATAGCAACACTTTAGTTACATTCTAAAACCACATTCTGCACTCTAGGTACTACTTTTTGATTCAGAAAGTATTCAACAACTGTTAGACTACTCTACTGTGTAAAAGGAGCATATTCTGTGACCAAATAAATCAGTTGTGTTGTGAAATTCTGATTTTTGTTTGAAGTAGTAGGTTTATTCGAATTATATTACATAGCATTCTGTTTGTTCACAGCTTTTTTATTTGAATGTATAAGGATAACATTCTTCACATTGTTCACATTCTTCAGGCAGTCATGGCCAAGTGGATAAGGTGATTGACTAGAGGTCAAAAGGTCGCCGGTTTGATCCCCAAGACCCCAACTCTACTGGCAGATGAAGGTGGCATGAGTGTTGAAACTCTCTCCCTCCTGTGTCAACCTTTACTGTGAAGGCCTTGAGAAAGTCACCAGTTCCCCACAGCTCCCCGAGCGCCGCAGCTATGGCTGCTCACTGCTCCTGGTGTGTGTTCACAGTGTGTTTATTCACTGCTATGTGTCTGCACTTGAATGGGTTAAATGGGTCATACTTGGTTCTAATGTCCCTTTCACTTCAGTTTTACTTCACTTACACATACTGAATAGCATTTGGAAATACACCATTTCAACTGGAAATAATATCATGAATATTGATTAATAGAACAAGATGTTTGAGTTTGTTAAGTAGAAAGATGGTTGATGGGATGATCAGGTCACCATCATTTATCAATTTTCCATAAAGTCCACTACAACTATAATTGACACATGCAATACATTGAGTTGTTCTTACATGATCTGCTAATTATGGCTGACATCTGATACCCCCAAAAGCTTCAGCTACACTTAACTACAGAATGAGTACTAAGTGTTTCGCTCTGAAGCTCTTGATGGTAACTTTTGGTGTGCCATTGATTTCTCAGAGGGTGAAAAGCATGTCATTGAGGGTCATCAAGTGGGCACACTCCTTCTTCAGTGTTTTGTTGATTAGGCCCGCAATGTCTACAGAAGGCCAACATCTATGACATCTCTTCCTCCCTGATGAAAAAAAAAACCTTTCTTCTCATACCCTGGGGTACTGATTCTCTGCAAATTGTGGTTATCTTGTTGCCGCCAAGATTCCTTCGACTGATTTAATCTATTCCTTGAATGATACCCGGAGGAAACCCACGCAAGCATGGGGAGAGCATGCAAACTTCTTCCAGGAAGGTCACCGGTGAGCCTTGAACCGGCAACCTTCTAACTGGAATGCCATAGTGCTACCCACTGCACCAACATATCAAGTTACTGCTGAAAAGTTGTAACTTGATATGATGTAATGGCCAGAGAACAACATCTTATCCCTTTTTCTCAGTAAATTTGTAGATGCTATGACACTGATTTTCCATGTTCTTACTGGTTGGTCAGATTATTTATTCTTTATTCTCTTTATAGACCTCTTCAAGTCTACCAGCACAATATCTACAAGCTTTGTTGTTGGGAACCACAAGAGAATGCAGGGCCAAACGTTATAACCACTGGATGATTGCCAGCTTACATGAAACGTGAAATTGACCCGATTGGTTTTTGTTGGTGGTCGTTTGCTTCATCTCCCTTATCGATGCCAGTCTTCTGAATACTTGGCTGTGCCTCCAATGATACCGCTGCTATGTGAGATTTCTCACACAGCCTGATAAGATTTGCCTCCAGGTGCCTGACATAGAGGGCAGGCAGGATCTTCTTTTGATATGAGGACAAGAATTGTATAGAGTTCTTATAACAAAATTTAGAGGTGCTACATCCATCAGATGTCCACCAAACTCTTCTCATCTTTTTCTTCTCCAGTCCAAACACTTCCCAACCATTCTGTACCTGTCTGAAAAAAATGATGGTTTCCAAGCCACTGCTTATCAGCCTTTTCAATCCAGTCTTTCACAATTCTGATGTGATTTGAATATGATACACGATTAACACGTGTCTTGGGGAATACCAAACTGAAAACTCCATACCTTGAGTTTTTCTTTTATTAAGATCTTACCGATACAAAACATGTAGATGATGATTCCTTTCTAAAATCTTCAAACGTCTGTTTTTTTTTGTTGTTGTTGTTTAGCATCCTACTATTTCATAAACTCGTTTTTTTTTTCTGGTCTTAGGTCTGTGACATGGAACTAAATTATGGAAATGCTTCTTCACTCATTGTGTTTTAATTTTAGCCTTGCCTGTTAAATTTTTATAAAGTTATTGGGTTTGGAGACAGTTGTTGTGAATTTTGTTAGATCATCCACAAGATCTCAAATTGGTGGATTTCCAAGGAAACTTTCTCCATTTACTACCCATTTCAAATTATCCAAAGGCCTCTACACACCTGTCTGACTGTTCGGAAAGTGATTGGCTCTGCCATATCAGATTGGTGTTTTGCAAGGAGTATGACCAATGAAAGCAGGATTTTTTGATGATATGAGTAGTCTGTAAATTACCTTGGATTTGGGAGTCGATGATAAATGCCATTTTCAAGCAGGGAGTGAAAGATTTGAGATTTGGGAAAAATTCTTGTGAGATTTGTGAGTAGAGGCCTTAAATCTACCATATATATGCATGTGCAAGTAACTGCAAGTTTCGACAGAAGTACCATTATGCTGTGGAGATTCTGTTGTTATGTTGTTATTTTAAAAACAGTCCATTTAATATTAATAAAAATCATGTTTTAATTGCTTGTTTAAATTCAATCTATTTTACTGTAACTGGTTTGTGCTGTGCACTACTGTAGTTAAGACAAAACTATGAAGCAATAGAAGATACCATATGCTTAAAAACTGAGCTTTTGCTGTCATTCAAGAGTCTTGCTGTGAAAACCTAACATTTTTATATTACATTTTTTTGAGACAGAAGAAGATTTGCAGTGTGATGTGCAGCCCACAATCACCAACGGTGATCCAAAAGTTCCAAAAGACTCAACATGAATGCATTACTGTAAAAAAAAGAATTTATTGTAAGCATCAAAATCTCTAAGCAGCTCTGCTCAAAACACAGAGGATATTATCTCTAATTTAGAAACAAAAGAGCTTTACACCATTGACTACATAAAAGGATGACAAAGGCTGAAAAAGGGTGTTAAATCAGTGTTGATATTCAAAATCCATTCCTGAAGAAAGTACTGAGGTAGCAAAAGGGATGCAAAATAATATTAGTTATTATATATTAAATCATATTATTAAATTATATTATGTGTATAATGCAAAGACATCTCAATGAATTGCAGTTATACATTGTTTAACAAAGCATTTGTTATAATGAAAGTTTATTAGATTAAAAAGGAAAATTACTAGAAACTGGGAAAACTATTTCTGACAACTATTTCTAAGCCCCACCCCAGGAAGAGAGTTCAACCAATCACATTTGAGAAGTTAACTCCATTACGTGATAAACAATAAATGTATTGAAAGTTTAAAAGATTAATCAACATGGTTTCAATACGTCTTTCAAAACAATTTCAACAAAAGGTGAGTTCCTAATATGAACATATTTGAACTGTTTTTAGAAATCTGTCGCTTTATTCAAAACTGTTGTTCAAAACTGATCCAAAGCATTCCTTTACTTTCATCAACAAGCAATGAAGGATTTTGTGGTTCTCTGGAGTGACTTTCCAAAGTAGTGATACGTTGGATTCTTTTATTCACTGTTTCAATATTTATATTTTGAACATTTTCCCAATACATTTTGTACAAAACTCTCACTCTCTTCTGCCAATGAAACAAACAGATCTCATTCTTCACTAAGGGGCGGGGCTTAATGATGAGTCAGTTCTTTTGATGTAGCTTGCATCTCTGACAAGTATTCTCTCATTTCTATTTTTATTCACAGTAGAGCAAAAAAACAACTGATTGCAAAAACCAAGATCCGTTAAGAACTTTGGTTTTCTGCGGGAATTAATGTTTTCATGTGTATGTAAAAAAAGCATAATGATAAAATTATGAAAAGTGAAAAAATGGTCTCCATGACAACAGCCTATTACACTCCACAGTACCTATGATTCATACAGACACAAGATATCAGTCCAGCAGTGATTGCAATGACCTCCCTCCAGCAAATCAATGAATTAAACATGAAAATATAGACATTGATTATTCCTCCCCTCCAACAAACATACCACACTCGATCACAGTCTCTCCAACAAGAGGGAAGCATAACACCATTAGAATGTAAAATGTTTCCGAGGATTAAACCTCTGAAAGGCCCCCGTTTGACAACCATCAACTAAAAAACCAATAAACAATAAATCACATCAGAAGAATTCTACTTCGGTCTGCTCTCTTTATGGCTTCAGGCAGATAAAAGTTTACAGAGTACTTCTTCTTTTCATCTCATCCAATCACTACACTGATTGTCGAGTCTTTGTGCTTAATTTAAACAGCCATTTCCCAAAAACCCAAGAGCAATCTCTCAGTGGTGCCATCTGGTCTTCAAAATAAGCCTGATGTTCTTAGCACTCAGAAAAGGTCAAGCTTCAGCAAACAGAACGACTTAGAAGGAAATGACTTTCATGCAACACATGGGGGGAAATGGAATGTAAATTGTCTGTCGCTACTGACAAACACCACCATGCAATTTCCGATGCTGTTTCCTTAGTTCTGTCTTTCCATTTCATCCTGGGTTGTGTGGGCCTCCGTAAACAGTAGGGAAGGAAAAGCTCTTTTGCTGATTCTGTGGACTAGTTTACTTGTTTGTTAAACTTAAATTTCCCCCAAATGTCTGGTTGTGAAATTCCGTGCTTATTGAGCACTTCATGTGTAATCCATTCACTAGCCATCCGGAGCTTTCCGCAGCCATTGGTAGAACTGTTGCTGGAACTGAACGTGCCATTTTACGCTAGCTTGAACGATCTCGATGGATCGAGCAAAGGCTGGTGCCGACTCTCCTGCACTGGTCACGATGAACTCCTTGAGCTGAGAACAAATGAACGTGTTTCATTACCATTTACACAACAGAGGTTCTACTGGTGACACCTTGCTCTTTGACGGTTATCTGAACATCATTTAATTTACATGCAAATGTCTGGTGTGTAATTTTGCAGATAATGCTTCTGATAATGAGCAGCTGAATGCTGTGGGAGTAAACAGAATTATCTGTGCTCTACTGGACACACACATCCATTATAGAAAAGTTACCAAAATTAGCTTTTAATAGAAGTTGAATATTACTTTGAATTGTCAGAGGTAAATTAATCTTATGGTTATTTCAGAATGTAATTTTGTTTATAGTCTTGCAGAGCTAAACTGTAATGATATGTAACTAGAGTCGATGCTATAGGGAATGTGTGGATGAAGATCTCCAGCCAGATCTGATTGTCAGTGACAGGATGCTAACTA